TTATGTGATTGTTAACAACGATTACGTAGATGTTTAGTTTAAACAGTTTAAGTAATTGTGAACGTAAGACATGCAACCAAAACTCAACAATGGCCCCGGTCCGAGGTGAACCGAGGTGAAAGGTGGTGCAGTTTTATATATGCGTATTGAATGTTGAGAGCCATCCCTGCACAAGAGCATAAATGTGCTATTTATAGTAGCTTTTCGTGCTCGTAGCTCGAGGTGTACGGTAACTTTTTCTTGTAAAACAGCTTTTGATGGGCGGTCATGTGAGTGGGTCCCACTTGAATGATGAAGGATCTCGTGATGTGTGAGGTTTGCGCGTAGGCGCCTTGTCACCAGCTTCGGGAATAGTGACCTCGGTTCGTGGGGACTTCGGTATAAGATAGCCTCGGCTCGGGATGACCTCGGTTTGATGATCGCCTCGGTTTTATGTGGCCAAGCCGGTTTAGTAGGCAAACCGGGATTATTGTGGACTATGTAGGTGCTTGTAATTAATCTTTCCAAAATGCAGTTTGAGGTTGGTAATTTCGGATTACCGAATCGGATGATAACAACAACTTTCCCCCACATATATTCTGGGGTAATCCAGAATTTATCAACATGACATTCATCATTTCTTTTAAATTTCGGTTCTTGCGTTCAGCAACACCGTTCGACTGTCGAGAATAGGGGCCGTCGTTTGATGAATTATGCCATATTCAAAACATATTTGTTCAAAAAGAGCTACATACTCCCACCCCTAACACTTCGGATTATTTTAATCTTTTTGCCGAGTTGATTTTCAACTTCGATCTTAAAATATTTAAAAGCTTCCACAACATCGTCTTTGTTTCTTAAAGGATATAAGTAGCAAAACCTTGTGCAATCATCAATAAAAGTTATAAAATATTTTTTTCCCGTTCGTGTTTGCACAATTTTCAAGTCACATACATCAGTATGGATTAAACCCAACGGTTCAGTATTTCTTTTCACCGAGTGAAAAGGCAATTTAACCATTTTGGCTTCAACACAAATTTCACATTTTTTGTGTGATTCAATTTTAGAATTAAGAATTAATTCTAAGTTCATCAATCGTTTAATTGCATTTAAATTTACATGTCCTAATCTAATATACCATAAATCAGAGCACTCAACGATATAAACAGAAGTAGGATTTTCATTATCAGTAGAAACGGTTACACGGCTCACATCCATTACATTCATTTTAAATAATCCCTTGTCGAGATAGCCACGACCAAGGAAGGTACCAAATTTGCTAAGAATAAACTTCTTTACATCAAACACTAACTTAAATCCATGCTCTACAAGAAGAAATCCGAAGACCAAATTCTTGCGGATGTCTGGGACATGCAGAACATCCTTAAGCTTCAACTCCTTTCCAGAAGTCAGCTTCAGTACCATGGTGCCAACTCCAGCCACATCAGATGAGGAGGAGTTTCCCATGTGGAGCTTCCGACCAGTAGAATGAGTGTAGTCAGAAAACAACTTCTTGTCGGAACATACATGGCGAGTGGCACCAGTATCAATGTGCCACGCCCTTGGGTTATCCACCAAATTGGCTTCAAACACCACAGCCGACATATCCATGTCGGTTAGTTCACTCGGCACAGGGCCGTGTTCAGCAACGAGGGCACTATGTTGTGCCTTCTTCAGTCCAGCCTTTTTAGGCTTATTGCAGTCCTTAGCCATATGGTTCGGCTTTCCACAATTGTGCTAATTGCCGGTAAATTTCCAAACTTCGGCTGGTTGTTGCTTTCCTTTGTTAAAGGGCTTCCTTTTGCTCGAGTTCCCTTGCTCCAGCAAGTTTGCACGAGCTTCTGTCATCGGGGCCTTCCCCAAAGACTTCCAATTGTCCTCTTCAATCCGAAGATGAACAACCAGGTCTTCAAGACTCATCTCCTTCCTCTTATGCTTGAGGTACTTCTTGAAGTCTTTCCAACCCGGCGGCAGTTTCACGATCACAGCCGCAACTTGGAATGACTCGCTCAGAGACATTCCTTCAGCATGAATGTCATGCAAGATGAGTTGGAACTCTTGCACTTGAGACACGATGGTCTTAGTGTCGACCATCTTGAATTCCAGAAATTTGCCGACGACGAACTTCTTCGCCCCGGCATCCTCGGTTTTGTATTTCTTCTTCAAGGCAGCCCAAAGTTCCTTGGCTGAACCAACCGAGCTATACACATTGTACAACTCGTTACTCAGTCCGTTGAGGATATAGTTCTGGCAAAGGTAATCACATTGCCCCCAAGCATCGTATGCTGCTCGTAGCTCAACATTCGATTCATTTTCAGCTACGACAGGAGGGTCGTCTTTCAAGTACTTCACCAAAACCGACTGCAGGGAATCAATACGCAACTCGATAGAGAACACATGTCGCGATGGAAAAATACAAAATTTTAAGTCAAATCTACAAGTGGAGGTCAACAAGAAAAATGACCAAGGTGAAAAACATAATTGAAACTAGTGAACCTCGATTTCTTAACAAAATCAAGAGTCACAAGATACAAAGACAACTGCAATATAATTGCGAGCAACACCTGGAACAAGATGAATACACGAAAGAAAATCGACTTACTCGCCATTATTGTGAAATCGGTTATTGGAATATGGTGAGGATTTTGTGTAAAGGTTGATGAACAAGCTAACACTGTAGTGGATCGGTTGCCGAAATCAAGGAATAGAGATCAGAGATTGGGATCGAGCACTGGAAGATGGTTATTGTTGCAACTGTTAGAAAAAATAAAAATAAAAGAAGAAGCAAAAGTGTTTTTCTGGAAACATATGATGCACTTACAGTGAAGGGTAGTGGTTATGAGCCCTCAGACCGCGAGTAGAACAATGGTTCATAGCTTTTGGAAAAAATGAGAAAACGTAGTACGAGACGATATAATGTCTCTTCAGTTCTGCACTAATGACTATTGACATGTTAGAACGACTTTTCGTACTTCAGCCACTCATCCTACTCCATAGCTTGAGTTCGCGTGGAGTGGGTTTGGGGGAGGGGCTGCTGATATATCCATGACTATGCTATACCGGATTGACACTAAGTTTTGTCGGGTCGACCGCCCAAAAAAAAGAGCCAGTTCGTCATGAGGAATGAGTATGGGGAAGGATCACAAGAATATCGACCTAAGTTAGAAAGATAACGACCTGGTGAGAAGAGGACGACCTAATTCACTAATAAAGGCAACCCCTCAGAACGCAGGCAGGGACCATACTACAAGACATTCGAAAAGACGACTTGGCTTATTGCGACATATAAACACTTGAACCACGACATGTACCAAGAGCGTAGGCTGAGTTAAAAACAAAGGGAATCAATGGGGAGGATAAGAAAAAATCTAATGGTGATAAAGATGATATTAGGATAAGACTAAACCCCAAGCAGATCATAACCATTTCGAGCAGACTGACCGAGACAGGGCGAATCGAGTAGCCGGTAGCCCAATCTTTGGACCAAGACATCCCCTTATAAAATGAGTTGAGGTAGCACAATAAAACTCTACACACACTCCATAATTTTTATTTACAGAACTTATTATCTTTTTCCTTGTACTAACTTGGGCGTCGGATGCTGACACCGGAGACCCTTCCAGCCCATTTTGCAGGTCGGTAGTTCTTTTCAGATGCTCAGACTAACATTATCAGTGACCCCGACCTGGGGTCACAAATTAAAAAAAATAAAAAAAAAAAAAAAGGTCGTGACCCAGGTCACATTGTGACCTTGGGTCGCGACCTGTTAATGGGACATTTGTCCCATTTTGATGGATAAGTGTATTTTTTTTTATTTAAAAAAAAATAAAAAATATATTAAAATTTATATTTTTTCATTCTCTACAAATAGAGACCACACTTGATATATTTTAGAATAAAATTATAATTTATAAATAAAATAAATATTTAGGTTGAGTTGGGTTAGGGATAAAGATAAATTGAATTGTAAGGTTGAGTTGTGTAGGTGGAGGAGAGAGAAATAATTTTTAATTATTAGGTTGAGTTGGTTTAGGTTGCTGATAAAGATAGTCTCAAAGCACTACTACAGTCGGTTCACATAGATGTAGGTCATTGATACATCATATATAATATAAATTAATTAATTCCCCCTCTAGATTTTTATAATAATACTTTAAAACAATGTTAAAAAGTGCGGGCCCTACGTGATAACAGCAAGCACTTAATATATATAAAAAAAATATTATTGGCAGCCTATCAAGAATTGCGTGGAAAATAAGAAGAAAGTGATAGGCTATCGGAAGAGTCCCATTATTATCCACAGGATGCCCCAATACCCAATCCAACGGTTGAAAGACGTCCATCCGCGGAAACACGGAGCCGCTCACGCCCAATACTTTGGAATCTCCCCACACACCCTCCCACTCACCCCAAAAAAACTCAACCTAACTCCACCATTTATTAAATAACTTCAAAAAATATACAAATAAATAAATAAAAACAAGAAGAAAATGCAATGTTTGCAAACTTTTTAATATTTTTTATATTTTACCCTTTAATTTAAATACAAATATGTATAAATCTCTATAAAATATAAACAAATCAACATACAGTGTATATTTAAAAAAAATGCTACAATCCCGTTACAGAACAATTCTGTTAGATGCACATACCACACTACTATAGATGTGCACTCAATAAAATAGTTCTGTAACGGGACTGTAGTTGTCGATTTATAGTCATAGATAGATTTTATTTGGATTGAAGATAAGATGAACACAATATTTTAAAGCAAAAAATGAGGGCCACTCCACTCCCTCTTCTCCAATTCTCCACTTCCCCTTTATATTCACCACTCTCTCCCCTTTCCAACCCATTTCTCACTTATCTTTGTCTCTTTATCTTGGGTTTTCTTCTTTCTTCAACCTCTCTCTCTCACTCAAACCAAAAAAAAAAAAAAATCTTCATTTTCCTCGACGGCACATGAACAAAGAAATTGGTCGATTGACACAGTTGAACCGAAACTTAACAACCCGATAGAGATGAGCTGCAATGGATGCCGTGTTCTCCGTAAGGGCTGTAGCGAGACCTGTATTCTACGGCCCTGCCTGCAGTGGATCGAGAGCCCTCAGGCCCAAGGCCACGCCACCGTATTCGTCGCCAAGTTCTTCGGCCGTGCTGGCCTCATGTCCTTCATCTCCGCCGTGCCGGAAAACCAACAGCCTGGTAATTATCCCAATTTTTTTTTTCTAATTTCTGTTTGTTGTTTTCTAATCGTAAAAAAAAAAGCGTTAACTGACGAAAAATACCCTCACGCGCGCAGCTCTCTTCCAGTCGCTGCTGTTCGAGGCCGCCGGGAGGACGGTGAACCCTGTGAGCGGCGCCGTGGGCCTCCTCTGGACCGGGAACTGGCACGTCTGCCAGGCGGCGGTGGAGACAGTCCTCCGAGGCGGCGTGCTGAAGCCGATCCCGGATCTCGTCGGCGGAAGGTCGCCGGACCTCCACGACTCCTCAGACTGCACGGAGATGTTCCGGACCTATGATTCCGCCTCGCCCAGGCACAAGCGGCGCCGTTCGCCCGACGAGCCGCCGGCTAGGGTCCCGCAGCTTGCCGATCTCGGTCTGAGCTTGATGCCTGGATATTTGGGGAAGAAAAGCGACGGCCGCCCTAATCCGGACGACTCACGGCGGCTGGGTAGCCCATCGATGAATTCAGAGGAGTCTCTGACGACGACGTGCGGTGATCTGCCTGCCGAAGAGATAAAGCTATTGAACCTGTTTAGTTAAAACTTAAATTATGGCCTCGGGCTTGAACGAGGGTTTTGGTTATCAGTCTTTCGTTTTTGCTTCTTTTTGTTTGTTGGGGTTTTTTGGATATTATGTATTCCGGTGAGGGTATTTTTGTCAATCTACGGCACAAGATCCTCCTCCTTTTCTCTTTCCGATTGTGTGCACAGCAGAGGGAAAGTGGAGGAGGAAATGAAAGTTTTGCCAGTGCTTTTCTTTTTTTTTGTTCTTTTTGCGTCCTAAATAATCACTGTTTGGAGTGAATAATAATATAATTATTTTCATTTGCTGTTTATTTCTTTGTTAGCAAACGAACTTTACCAGCACTCTGTTCATTAAAATAATCGTCCCCAGGTAGATGTGGCCAATTGCCGGGCTAGGGCGGCGGGCCTCAATTTCATGGCCCGTGACCGGCCCGCCCATTTACATCGGTCGGTTCTATTTTCACTGACCTGGCGGGTTTTGAGCGGTTTCGAACCGGTACGACCTATAAAAAAAACATTGCAGCCCGTCTTCTAACTCGCGACCTGGTCCGAACCGGGGAGACAAAAAAGAAAGAAAAAGAAATTCACGAATCAGGACCGAACGGCAACCCTACGGTCCGGTTCAGGGCAGGTGCGGGCTGGTTCGCGACCGGTTTCGGACCGGGTCAACGGACTGGGCCAGCCCTTGATCATGTCTATCCACAAGGATCAATGTCTGCAATAATTTGCTTAAAAATGATCAAAAAAGTGGAATCATCGAAGGGATGATTGAATTATTGGGATTTTCTTGGGTTTTATCCAACTAGGACATTCAATAAATCTTCTGAAATTGAAATGATTTTATTTATTTATTTATTTATTTAAGAGAATGGCTATAGTTTGTATCATGCAATTTTATTTTATTTTTTTTTTCGTAGATAATCTTTTATTGGAAAAAATGATATACCAAATTTTAAGGTTATACTTTAAAAAACTTGCGATGGATAATTATGTGGTGAATTTGGTTCAAAAATTGTTGATTGAAGATGATGAGGAATGAAGATAATAACTACCTCAAAAGCCAGTGAAAAAGAAAAGGTCAAACTTTTTGGCTACACATCACCACAACTCAGATTGATCTAAGAATGGCGTGGCGCAGGGAAAGTACAATAGTTTCGCGAACTTATCCATACAATTAATTTATCTATTCGTTGAAGAATTGTCCTATTGCTTTTGAGTCTTTATTTCTTTGTGAATTTGAAAAAAAAAAAAAAAATATGTCTGTAAAGTTGAACGATCCAATAAACTCAAAATTAGAAGCATGAAACTCTAATTTTGAGTTTATTGGATGTCTGTAAAGTTGAACGATCTAAATTTAAGTCAATCTACATTAACTGCTAGTTGGAAGAACTAATTCGGAAAGTGCTAAGCATACACTTAAAGTATATTTCTCTTTAGCAATTGAGATTTAGCTTATTTGAAGGCATCTTATAAGTTTATGGTTGCGCCATATTATCACTTTGTTGCATGTTGCGGATGGTAACGTCAGTGGTGTGTAATGTTCGTACTTGAAACCCAAGCGCCCCCTATCGTCACCCCTATAATCCTTCCCACTTGATCTTCTATCGTCTGGCTTATGTTTTTCCTCTTGCTTCTTTCCCCGAGCTCGGTCGTGTGCTTGGAAATCTGCCTCAGTCTCCTCCATATTCATGTACTTAGTGCATCGTTCCAACAATTCATCATAGGACCGGGCAGGCTTCTTAGCCAGTGAATTTCTGCAGTGACCTGCTCTCAATCCCCTCGTCAGTCCACCGGCTTTTATTTCTTCAGTCGCCGAAGGAACCTCCACGCATGCACGAGTAAATCTAGCCACGTATTCCCTAAGTGATTCATGTTCCCGCTGTTGCATGTTCATCAAGGACATATATGTCTTCTCGTGTTTTCTCGCACTGGAGAACTGATTGATAAACAACGAGCTGAACGCATTAAAGCTATAAACGGATCCCGCTGGTAACTGGTGAAACCAATCTTGAGCCGGCCCCTTTAAGGTTGTCAAAAAGGCTCGGCAACAAACGCCATCGCTATACCGATGTAAAACCGCCACATTCTCAAAGCTCCTTAGGTGCCTCGCTGGATCTGAGGACCCATCATAATGTATATTAGGCTCCCGAAAGTTCTGGGGTAAGTCGGCACCTAACACGTCATCAGTAAAGGGGTGACCTTGCATCCTAGGTTGTCGCCTGCCCTCTACCCTAGCTTGGAGCTCCTTAATTTGGTTTGCCATTTGTTCCATCAATACATCCCTAGGCGGTCGGGGAACCACTGGTGACACCACCGACCTCTCCTCCTGGTCATCTCTGCGGTGGGCACTTCCTCTTAAAGGCCTAGACAGCACTGGAACGTGTTGCTCCACCTCAGCGATTGGACGCTCCGCCACTACGACAGGCCGCTCCTCAACTACCCCGGGCCTTTCTGTTATCGCAGTTGGCCTCTCCACCGCTTCCACCTCTCGTGCTGCCAATGCCCGACTTACCGCCTCCGCAATGATGCGATCCAATTCCCCTCTAGTAACCTGCATCACCGGCCCTACACCCTCTGTCACCACTGCAGGCACCGGTCCTCGTATCACCATCTCTTGACCTGCTCCATGGGTCACCAAACCTTGCTCTTGACCCGATGGGGGAACTGGTGGTACTCCCTGTATCGTAGCAGGGGGCGTAGAACTTTCTCCAGCAACCCATCCCTTTGGCGGTCCTCCCCCATAGGGCGTCTTTTCGACCCATGCTTCGTTCAAACTATCGCTCAGGTTCCTCCTTGATTGCTCATCCGCGGTCCCGTTCGTCATCCTTACGTCTTTAATCGGTAGAAAAAATGGTTAGTCCCACAGACGGCGCCAATTGATGTGCTTGTGCACCTTGAACCGGCTCTTCGAGTCCCTCCGTTGCTTAAGCCTCCGTAAACCTGCAAGGACGCCGGGATGTTTCCCGGCGGTAGACCTCCGATGCTTAAGTCAGTAAGGTTACAAGAAGAGCGCCGTGTATGATAGATAGGGTTTGTAATGTCATACCTTACCATCCTCGTGATTCACCTATTTATACCTAGTGTATTAGCTTCTTCACTACGCTACCTCCCTCCTCCTTCTGATTGGTCTTGTTCTATTCCTCCTTTAGCCCACACATGTCCTCCATTCTCTTGTTGGGCCGTGTTGCTCGTGACCATACCGAACATATTCCACTCCAATTCAGATGGGCCGAGCAAACTACCCTCATACATGGGCCGAGCAAACTACCCTCCTATATGGGCCGAGCCATTTCATGAAGAACCGGGCTGACTATTTACCAAGTGAACCGTGCCATTCTTATATGCCATATCAGTATTGAATACCACTAAATTTCTATTATGATAATATTAGTTTGTCTTTTCCGCAGTATTGAATACCACTAAAGTTCTATTGTGATAATATTAGTTTGTCTTTTTCAGTAAAAAAATTGTTCATAAAGTTTTTTTTTGTTTCTAAGTGATGAGGGTTCAACTAACCCTCAGCCCCCCCAGCCGAATCCTGGGGAGGGCAAAAACCACACTTGAGCAGTGTGGAAGGCCATGAGTCCACTGTGGGACTCATTCGAGTCGGTGGGTCCCCCGGGACACGAGCCAGTCAGGGCCACGGCTAGACTGGGCTCACCAGGCAGGGTCACGGCTAGCCTGGGCTGGGGGGGCTGAGGGTTAGTTGAACCCTCATCACTAAGGATAAAATTCATGTTAATGAATTTTTATTGAACACATAAGGATGAATTTATGCTAGCAAATTCATAGCTCCATGATAAGGTATACTAAGATATTAACACTTGAAGTATTTAATGAGTATTGCTCATATAAGTGTTACTATAGATATTGCCTTTGTTCATTGGGAGTTGGTGTTCAATGTTTTCCTAAATGTTATCACTTCAGTTTTCTGCAGAATAAAGTTGATGGTTCTGATTCGTTATTAATCACTAAAGTTTTCTATTTGCATTTATGGATTGACCTCACTAAAGATTTAAAGTTGGACCAGTTAGAAATAGACATGATAATGATCACATTGCATGTAATTTCCATGCCACTTACCATATTTGATCTATGTCATTGAGTGTACTAGTATGGTGATTTCCGTGGTTTAACCTTGATTTGTAATGTGGTGAAAGCCGCGGTAGTTCCATTGCTAGTATATGAGATGGACCAGATTGTTTAAGGTAGTCTGGAGATGAATAACATAAAGTTGCACAACTAAGAGATTAATATAATTGCTCTGGAAATAATATGTAGCCCAAGTGCGAGATTGTTAGAAAATGTTTAATTTCCTATGTGTAATCTAATTATGGGCAACATATTATATACAATTATATTAGCTATTCAATTTAATTAATGGACTCAATTAACTGATCTAAATAAAGTAGAGTCCATTGACTACATAAATTGATATGGGTAATTGAGTGAATACCTAATATTATTAGGGTTAGGTGATAATGGGTGGCCTACCCTACTAATATATAAAGACTCTATTGGTTATGGTCTCCAATACACTAAATCAAACATAGTTCTCTTTTCTCCCCATCAGAATTGAGAACGGCAGCCCCATACGAGGAATAAGGCGATTTAGGTGAGGAAGACCATATTTAGGTGAGGAAGACCATAAAACCAACATCGTTTATGATCGAGGATGTGTTCGTGATCCAAGTCATGTTTCATGGTGATCTGATCCATAAATCCACCTAAGGTACGCTTCCGCTATCTAGTTTGATTCTCGATTATTTGATATGAAAGCTCTTTAGATATAATGATGGTTTTCGCATAAGGCTAATTCCCCAGCACGTACAAGATTTGGCTTTATCCCATAACTCTACCTCAATATTATGCTTGATGATTTTGAAGATTTGAATGTCCATGTTCCAACAAAGCAGGAGTCCCCCACTCTTACCTATAGTCCACCAATACCAATAGCTCGGTTTTATCATTTGCAGCTTTCCTCTTCCAGGTTCTACCTTTTGTAGTTGGTTTATT